TTTTAAATGGTAAACAAATAATAAGACAAAAGTTACATTGGAAATAAATTTTAGGGGTTGCGTTTTATACCCCTTACAACCATGGGGTAAACCAAATAAATTACTGGCTAGGTGCATTTTTGGTAGGTAGTACAAAACGTCAGGTTAATTTCGATATTGTAACTCTTTTAGTGCTTGTGAAAAAAATTGTTATACAAATTTTATGTACCCCTTTTAAGAGGCTGTATCTTAACAAGGTATGCTCCAATGAAATTTCTTTGTATGAAAGATCCTATCTTTTTCTCGATGAGGAATCCTTAAATGTTTTACACTTATTTAGTTACACCCTGTATTATCATTTATCTCCTCATTTCGCTTGTGAGAACATCTTCGTGAAGAAGACCTGATTGAAACATTCAAGTGAATATGTGAGTTTTACGACTAGAATTGCTAGAGTTGGCGATTAAAATATATCACTTCTATGAAATTACTTGCTAATTCTTAGCTGATTGGATTCAGTGATGAAAAATTGATATTAACGAATATATCCTCGTGTCTCGAATTCTGTATCTGGCGTATTGGAACTTTTCAAATCAAGACATGAACTTTGATCGAATTCTGAACATTCCCTATTCGAAATCGAACAGCTTAACACTCACGTAACAGTCTAAAGGATAGTTTCTGTTAATAGTTAGCACATATTGACAGTAACTTTCCTTAACGACCCAACTCTAACTGGTTGAAATGTTGAAATGCAATGCGGTAATTCGAGAAACAGTAGATGTGACGTGTATTGGTGATAGGTATCAGTTGAAGTACATGATTACTGTTAACTATTTGCTGTTACCAGTTTGAGAAATGAGGGATTCCTATGTTATACATTGTTTAGGGTCCAAGACGTTCAAGATTCGATTTTTGAAACAGATATTTAGAGAGGTTGTTATGTTTTATGAGCAGGCACTTCTATTCAGTGATTAAATAGGGTAGTGAATATACGAAGGATCAAATGGAAAATTTCACATTTCATTGAGAGTTCCAAAACAAACACTATCGCCAAACAGCAGTACTGCATTACTCTCCTCAAAGGCGTGTTTCACAAACCAAGTTGACGTCTTCAGGAGACGAAGTGAAATAACTGGATTTACTCTACGCCGAATGTTCTAGTTTTAACTTTAATTTTTTCCAGCGGCGGCTTGTCAGAGGAGGCTTAGCCTCCCCATAAAATTTAAGGCTATTCATCGCAATAAATCAAAAGATATTGACAAATAAGTATGATTATTTTTTTCTGAAAATGCTTGGGTATCATTACTTTACCATTAATTTTTAATATAAATACATAATATGCCCGATAAAACACTATCACTCACTACGTAGTACGTACCTCAAACACACCGCCCATGAATGAATAACGAATAAACCATCAACCCGAAATGCAAGGGAGCCAAGCCTCCGACCACTTTAAAAATACAGGTTCCACGAGACCGATCCAAACAGTGACAAACGTCCCGATTCGTGATTTCAGTTGCAGAAATTATAGCGTTAGAGGAGGCTAGCCTCCAGTTGGTCTCCGTTAGTGTACGATTGCGTTTGTTTTTCATTTAATTATTCGAAGCAAACA